AGAAACTTTCTTTTAAATCAAAAAGATCCCCCCCCCTCCCCCAATAAGGGCAGGAACTTGAGCGTAAATAGATAAAAACATGGTTCAAATGACAGAGTTTTTCTAGGCAGTGAGAGGGTGTTTCGTGTCTTTCCCAGATTTAGAACACACCCCCTCAATAAATTTATATTCCTCCCAAAGGCTGTTCTTTCCGCACAACTGCAACTACTCTGTGTATCCCTCAGGCAACCATAAAGGGAATGCTTACTGTATGATGGTTTTGTTCTGTAGGGCCTAGCATACAAGCTGAGTGAAATGAAGATTCAGAGTAACATCTCTAGAATGGTTAATACAAAATAATTATTTTCTGTAAAGTAGGAATAACCTCAGTTTTCTTAATCACATGATGCCTAGATATAACATGTGTGCAAGGAGATACTTACATGGCAGTGAAGGCATGGTACGCAAAGCTAAGCTCATGGGTAGAAACTGCTCTGATCTGTCAAAATAAATTCTTTACCTGTAGGATGAGTGTTTGTATGTCTCTTTGGTACTTCTCAGAACGTTCTTCCTTCTCTCTCATTGCTGGTTTTCTTTTGCTCACTTTAGAATCTAAAATAGAAAACAAAAATAATACAGATCTTTATTTAGCTTTTGTTTTCCTCTTCAAGTTCAGCATTATTTTTGCAGAGGAGTTCGGTTTCCTTTACCTAAAAGAGAAGGAAAGGTAGAAAAAGGAAAACATACAATAACTTTAGTGCTTAATTTTTCAAATAGGAGTCTCTATAAGGGAACTCCGCTCGGATGTCACCTGGATAATAATATCCATCTTTCTGAAGAACAAACTACTAAATTTTCCTTTGAAGCTGTGTCTATTTTCTTTGCAAAATCTTAATCAGAAAGGGCAAGGAATAAAAATAAACAAAATCTAAACATTTTGATTATGATGTAACACCCAGTTTTTAAAATTATTGTTAAAATAAGCAACACTGCACAGCTGGTGTAGCTCAGTGGTTGAGCAATGACCTATGAACTAGGAGGTCACAGTTCAATTCCCAATCAGGGCACATGCCCGGGTTCTGAGCTTGATCCTCAATAGGGGGTGTGCAGCCCTAACCGGTTTGGTTCAGTGGATAGAGCGTCGGACTGCGGACTGAAGGGTCCCGGGTTTGATTCCAGCCAAGGGCATATACCTTGGTTGCGGGCACATCCCCAGTAGCGGGTGTGCAGGAGGCAGCCAATCAATGATTCTCTCTCATCATTGATGTTTTTCTCTCTCTCCCTCTCCCTCTCCCTTCCTCTCTGAAATCAGAAAGCATATACATATATACATATACATATATATATATATATACATATATATATATATACTAAGCATATATATATACACACACACACACACACACACACACACACACACACACATACATACACACACTAGAGGCCCAGTGCACAAAATTCATGCGGGGGGCGGGGGGGGGGGGTGTCCCTCAGCCCAGCCTGCACCCTCTCGCAATCCGGGACCACTGGCTCCCAACTGCTCACCTGCCTGCCTGCCTGGTCACCCCTAACTGCTTGCCTGCATGATCACCCCTAACTACTCGCCTGCCTGCCTGATCGCCCCTAAATACTCGCCTGCCTGGCTGATCGCCCCTAAACCGCGTCTACCTGGACCCTGCCGCTGCGCGTTTGTCAGGAAGGACGTCCGGAGATGATGTCCAAGCAAGTCGGTTGGCTGCACTGGTATTATTATAGATACTAGAGGCCCAATGCACAAAATTTGTGCAGGGGAGGGAGGTCCCTCAGCCCAGCCTCTACCCTCTCGCAATCCGGAACCCCTTGGGGATGTCCCACTGTAATCTGGGACCCCTCACTCCTAACTGCCTGCCTGCTCACTCCTTACCGCTTGGCTTGCTGCTCCTTAGCACTGCCGTGGAGGCAGGAAAAGCTCCCACAACCACTGCTGCGCTCACCAGCTGTGAGCCCGGCTTCTGGCTGAGCAGCGCTCCAGCTGTGGGAGCACACTGACCACCAGGGGGCAGCTCCTGCATTGAGCGTTTGCCCCCTGGTGGTCAGTGAGCATCATAGCAACTGGTCGTTCCATTGTTTGATCGATTTGCATTATTAGGGTTTTATTATATAGGATATTTTAAAAAGCAACACTAAAATTGTACAGAACAAAATTTAATTCCTTGGATAATTCAAGAAGCCCATGCTAAGAGAATAAATCATAAAAGAACTCACCATAAGAAAATTTGTAACTATGTGTGATGATGGATGTTAACTAGACTTACTGTTGTAATCATCTTGTAATATATAGAAATATCAAACCATTATGTTGTACACTTGAAACTAATATAATGTTATATTTTAAATTATCCTATATAATAAAAGGCTAATATGCAAATTGTCCCTTTGACTGGGAGTTCAACCAGGGCCCCCCCCCCCCCAAATCAGGGGCAGGGCAGGCAGGCAAACCACCTGGTCCCTCCCCAAGGCCGATCCGGCCCAATCGACCCCGATTGGGGCGGACTGGCTGGACCCCACCCGTGCACAAATTCGTGCACTGGGCCTCTAGTATATCAATAAAAAGAAGAAAATTAAGATTTTCATTAAAAGAGAGCGATAAAATGACTGAGGCTTAGAGAGGCTAAGTAATACTCTGCTTCCAGAAGTTGTCTAAGTCTGTTTTATAACTTGTCACTATAAGCATGTTAATTATATATATATATACATTATTTTTTTTTAAAAAAAAATCTATATCTTTATTGATTTCAGAGAGGAAAGGAGAAGAGGAGAGAGATAGAAACATTAATGATGAGAGAGAATCATTGATCAACTGCCTCCTGCAGGCCCCACACTGGGGACCAAGCCGGAAACCTGGGCATGTACCCTTGGCCAGAATTGAACCTGGGCCCCTTCAGTCCACAGGTTGACGCTCTATCCACTGAGCCAAACCAGCTGGGGCAATTATATATTCTTTATTTCTACTCCATTGAAACATCACGGAGCTCTGGCCAGGTAGCTCAGCTAGAGTGTTGGCCCAATACGCCAAGGTTGTGGGTTCAATCCCCAGTTGGGCACATAAAAGAAGCAACCAATGAATGCATAAATAAGTGGAACAACAGGTTGATGTTTCTCTCTCTCTTTCTCTCCCTTCCCCCCTCTCTAAAATCAATAAATAAAAATAATTAAATAAACAAACAAAAATATCATGGAAAGGTGAAAAAAAAAATACAAAACAATCTCGAGCTTACCAAGAGGCATTATTATAAACATTCATTATCACTGTATAGTAAGAAAAAAATCCTAATTATTTGCACTGTGTTTCTGAATTCTGTACCAGTGAGAATTTATAACATAGTTGGTACCTGCTTTGAAAGCTGAAGATTCATTCTGTTCACAAATATCTACAGTCTGGATAGTCTTTTGGAGAACGCTGACCTGAAAAAGCAAAAAAAAAAAAAAAAAAAGTAAAGAAATAGTCTTTCTATATATGTAATGTTTTACTTTTGAGCTTTAGTGCCACAGATCAGCACTATTCATAAATTAAACTGGTCAAAATTGATATACTCACATAGGAATGTCACACATATGAGATCAAAGTGGACAAAGTAACAAACTAGATAAAACCCAGTGTTGGTAATATAAACTAAAAAAAAAAAAAAAATAAAGAAAACCTTCAGGATAATTTCCTAATATCTGGTTTTTTAAAAAGTGGTCTTTGCCTGGCTGGTATGGCTCAGTAGTTGAGCATCAACCTAGGAAACCAGGAGGTCACGGTTTGATTCCCGGTCAGGGCACATGTCCCGGTGGGGGCTGTGCAAGAGGAAGCCGATCAATGATTCTCTCTCATCACTGATATTCCTCTCTCTCCCTCTTCTCTGAAATCAATAAAAAAAAAAATTTTTTTTTAAATATTTTTTTATTGATTTCAGAGAGGAAGGGAGAGGAAGAGAGAGATAGAAACATCAATGATGAGAGGGAATTATTGATTGGCTGCCTCCTGCAGGTTGGACCAAGCCCGAAACCCAGGCATGTGCCCTTGACCGGAATCAAACCTGGGACCCTTCAGTCCGCAGGCCGACGCTCTATCCACTGAGCCAAACTGGCCTGGGCAAAAAAAAATATTTTTTTAAAAAGTGGTCTTTGCTGAAGCCGGTGTGGCTCAGTGGATAGAGAGTCGGCTTGCGAACTGAAGGGTCCCAGATTTGATTCCGGTCAGGGGCATGTACCTGGGTTGCGGGCACATCCCCAGTGGGAGATGTGCAGGAGGCAGCTGATCGATGTTTCTCTCTCATCGATGTTTCTGGCTCTCTGTCTCTCTCCCTTCCTCTCTGTGGAAAATCAATAAAATATATTTAAAAAATAAAAATAAAAAAAATAAAAAGTGGTCTTTGACAAGGGCCTTTAGGAAAGTAATGGAAACATAGAAGTATACATATGTAGATATGGATAAAGATGCTCACTGGGGCACTGTTTAGAGAAGTAAAAAAAAGGAAACAGTATATACCAGTGATGGCGAACCTATGACACGCATGTCAGAGGTGACACGCGAACTCATTTTTTTGGTTGATTTTTCTTTGTTAAATGGCATTTAAATATATAAAATAAATGTCAAAAATATAAATCTTTGTTTTACTATGGTTGCAAATAACAAAAAATTTCTATATGTGACACGGCACCAGAGTTAAGTTAGGGTTTTTCAAAATGCTGACACGCCGAGCTCAAAAGGTTCGCCATCACTGGTATATACACATATATTCCTATATGAATGGAATGTTTACAATATGGGAGACTGCCATTTTTATGATAGATTTCTGTGTTTATTTTTAATAAAGACCATGCATTATTTTTATAGTCAGCATAAACAAAGATTAATAAAGAAACTTGAGTATTGAAACTTAAGTTTGGCCCTAGCCAGTTTGTCTCAGTGGATAGAGTGTCAGCCCATGGACAAAAGGGTCCCAGGTTCAATTCCAGTCAAGGACACATACCTCAGTTGCAGGCTCGATCCCTGACTCTGGTAAGTGGTGTGTGTGGGAGGCAACCAATCAGTGTGTCTTTCTCACATCAATGTTTCTCTCTCTGTCTCTTCCCCTCCCTTCCCTCTCTCTAAAAATCAATGAAAAAAATAACCTCGGTGAGGATTAAAAAACCACCACAAAACAACTAATTTTCCTTTCTTATCTCATCTAAAACATCTACTCCTCTGTGCTTTAGATTTCCAAGTAGTGAAATGGGTAAATAATGCTACTTTCCAAAAATTTTGAAGTAAAAGAAAAAAATAAAAAAGCTTTTTGTAACTATATAGAAAATGCTTTGAGAACTTATGTAGACATGGGGATATGATAACTAATTCTCCTTCTAACTTCTTTAGCAAGCACCAAAATATCTCTGATTATGGACCCAAACATGTTAAAGCCATGTTTACCATGCTATCTATACCAAAGATTACTTACTTTGTTGGGAGGCTCCTTATAAAAATAGGTCACTTCTCCAGTGTCTGTTCCCACAAGGGCCAAGAGATTCTGAATCTTTCTCTTGTCTTCTAGCTCCCTGTAATTCTCATAAAGAGTAAGCACACATTATATCCAGAGCAAGTAAATTTTTTTAAAGGATCTCCCTTCTGACTTACTTGTTTAAATAATGATAACCTCAAACTAAAATTGAATAGGATTTATTTAGACCTCAGCACTAATTTTGAAAACATCAGGTACTTATACTTAGGAATTCAGAGAGAAGGGGCCAGAAACTAATTTCTTAGTTGGTTCTAGAAAAGCACTGTTGTGGGTGGTAGGCACATTGCTCCTCTTCAGGACTGATATAAGTTCAATAGAGGCTCGGTGCACAAATTTGTGCACGGGGGTGGGAGGGGAGTCTGGCTGGCCCACTCTGATCAGGGCCCATCAGGCCTGGCCGGCCGGGTGGAGGGGATGTGGGAGGTTGGCCAGCCCCACCCCCTGGTTGAACTCCCAGTTGAGGGACAATTTGCATATTAGCCTTTTATTATATAGGATAGAGGCCTGGTGCATGGGTAGGGGCTGGCTGGTTTGCCCTGAAGGGTGTTCTGGATCAGGGTGGGGGTCCCCACTGGGGTGCCTGGCCAGCCTGGGTCAGGGGCTGAGGGCTGTTTTCCAGCTGGCAAGTGACTAAAGCTTCCAACCGCTCCTTGTTTTCTTTTCTTTTCTTTTTTTTTATTCTGGGCCAGCTTTAGCGCTGAGGCCTCGCTGCTGAAAACATGGATTCAATGTTTCGGTCTGGCTGGCTTTCAGTCAGGCTGGTTTCTGGTGTTTTGTTTATCTTCTTATTTGCAACATAGTACATAGTTGCTTAGAGTTACAGTTGAGAGGCTGGCAAGTGAGGCGGGAACGTTGGAGTCCGCAGCAAGCAAGCCTCATGCTTGCTTCAGTGCCTGGCTGCCGGCCGCCATCTTGGCTGACAGTTAATTTGCATATACTCACTGATTAGCCAATGAAAAGGGTAGCGGTCGTACGCTAATTACCATGTTTCTCTTTTATTAGTGTAGATTCTCCTAACTATCAGCCGTATTACAGGCTGATGCTCACAGCTGAATCTCTCTCCAGAACTGACATCAGTCAAGGGGGACTGCCTTAGCCAAAGGACAGTCTGCACCCAGTGCCTCGCTAAGGAGGGGTACAAAAGCCCAATCCCCTTATCTTAATTCAGGATATTGAGATACCCTGTGGCATTGGCTGAGTCAGCTGTAATTGAATCACAGTTCAACTTCTGCCCAAACTTTCCTTATTCCCTCATAAGTAGTTATTCCTGAAAACACTCCCCAATAAATCTCCTGCAAGTAAATTTCCATTGCAGAGTATGTTTTCCAGGGAACCCAACCTAAGGCAGTTTATATCAGACTAGAGGCCCGGTGCATGGATTCGTGCACTTGTGGGGTTCCTCGGCCTGGCCTGTGCCCTCTCACAATCTGGGACCCCCCGGGGGATGTCGGACTGCCAGTTTTGGCCTGATCCCCACAGGCCAGGCCAAGGTACCCCACCTGTGCACGAATCCATGCACTGGGCCGGTTTCAACCCGATCCCCGCAGGCCAGGCCGAGTGACCCCACCGGTGCATGAATCCACGCACTGGGCCTCTAGTATGCATATAAGATATTTGGTTAATCTCTTCCCACCCTCCCCTCTCCCCCCTTCCCTCTGAGATTCATTAGTCTGTTCCCTGTTTCCATGCCTGTGCATTGAGCATCTGCCTCCAGCTGGTCAGAGCGCATCAAGCTACCAGTCGAACAGTTGAACAGTCGCTTAGGCTTTTATATATAAAGACAAACAAACTCTAAACTGAGTTTTCAGAGCTAGTGATATAGAGATGATTTATGGAACATAATATTCTTAGCAGCAAAACAGATGGGAGGGCTCAACAGGTAAACAGGATATAACTTAAACAACTGAAATAAATCAAAGAGGGAGGGAGTCTGTTCATGGTGTCCTATGTAAAATCACAATCTCCATTTTCCACACCTCAGCCAGTTTTAAGACCCAGAGACTATGACCTGAAAGATGAACTGGGTCACCCAGTGACACCAAAGCAAGTGTACATGATAACGATTTCCCTGGTCCTTCCCCAAAGGGCTTATGGCCATTTATTCAAGTAATTGTACAACGGGGAAAAAGAAATACCCAGGCATTTCAAAGATTGCTAGATATATGGTCTGAGCTAACATTGATACCTGGTGACTTGAAGCATTATCATGGCACTAGGGCATATGGGAACCATGTAATAAATGGAATTTTAGTCCAGGTCCAGCTCACAATGGGTCCACTGGATCCAGGCTCAATCAGTGATCATTTCCCCCATCTCCATATGAGTAAGTGGAATGAACATATTTGATAGTTGCCAAACCTCCAAATTGTTTTTTTGGCTTCTGGGTTATGCTAAGTTGGAAGCCTCTGTAACTGCCCTTTCCTCACCCCAAGATGGTAAATAAAGATCCAAAGAATGTACAGGTGAAGGCCTCCATCAAACCCTCATTTCATTCACAAGTATGACCTATGCAAAACCAGACTGATAATAGTAGACAACTACAAAGTAGGTCCCAATTCAGTAACTATGCTCAATGTATTATTTTTGCTATAGCAGATTAACTTGGTTTTAGATATATGGTAATTGGCTACTGATTAAGCTCATGTATTCCTACCCATTCCTAACAGGACCATAAGCAGTTCTCATTCATGTGTGGTGAAAAATAGTGTACCTTTGTAGTCTTTCTCTAGGACCAAGTCTTTTCTGCTCTCTATCAAATCAGTCCAAAGCGACCAAGATCTGACCATCCTATAGATCAGTGGTCGCCAACCTTTCGGACCTCACGGACCACCAGTGGGCCATGGACCACCAGTTGGTGACCGCTGCTATAGATTACATTAGTTCACTATTGGTGATATAGTAAATCAGACTGGATAGACAAGAAATGGTGCCCAGCTGGTGTGGTTCAGTAGTTGAGCATTGACCTATGAACCAGGAGGTCAAGGTTCGATTCCCAGTCTGGGCACATGCCTGGGTTGTGGGCTCGATCCCCAGTAGGGGGCCTGCAGGAGGCAGCCAGCCAAGCAATGATTCTCTCTCACCACTGATGTTTCCATCTCTCCCTCCCTTCCTCTCTGAAATCACTAAAAAAAAAAAAAAATTAAAAGAAATGGCAAATGCATTAGAACCTTGGTAAGATACATGTGCTCCAGAAGGTTTGACGTAACCTTACAAAGCACATCAGTGAAGTTTTAGGGGTCCACTCTATGCATGCCAGAACATTCTCTTCAAAGTAAAGGAAAAATTACTGCATCTCACACCTACCATCACCAAGAAGGAAGTATAATGCTGAGAAGGACTCTTCAGGTTCTGGAGAAAACATGTTCCATACTTTTGAATAATGCTCTGACCCATATATCAAGTGACATGGAAGGTGAGCTTTCAGTTGAAAAGAAGTTCTGCATTAGGTCAAAGCTAGACCTATTAAGGAGATAGAATGACTAATAAAAAACCTGACAAACAAAAACCCTAGACCTCATAGCTTCACTGGTGAATTATACCAAACATTTAAAGGTCTACACCAATCATTCCCAAACTTTTCGAAAAACTGAAAAAGAGGCGATACTTGCTAACTCATTCTATGAATCCAGCATTCCCCTGATACCAAAGCCAGACAAAGATAATGTAAGAAAAGGAAACTACTAATGACCAATATCTGTTATGAACACTGATGCAAAAATTCTCAACAAAATACTAGCAAACCAAATTCAGCAGCATACTAAAAGGATATACACCACGATTAAGTGCAGTTTATTCCTGGAATACATGCATAGTTCAACATAAAAATCAATCAATGTAATATACCACATTAACAGAATGAAGAGGGAAAACATACAATCATTAATTGATAAAAAAAAATGCATTTGACAACATTCTATACCCTTATATGACATAAACACTCAACAAACCAGGAATAGAAAAAAAATAACCTCTATAAAATAAAAGCTCTGTATGAAAAACCCAAGCAAGCATCATACTCAATGGTGAAAGACAAAGTTTTCCTCTAAGATCTAGAACAAGAAAAGGGTGCCCACATTTGCAAGTTTTATTTAAAACTAGAGGCCTGGTGCACGAGATTTGTGCACTGGGGGGAGGGGGGGGTCCCTCAGGCCAGCCTGTGCCCTCTCGCAGTCCGGGACCCCTTGGGGATGTCCGGCTGCCGGCTTAGGCCGGATTCCCCTAGGACAGTGGTCGGCAAACTCATTAGTCAACAGAGCCAAATATCAACAGTACTTCTTCAAAATAGACTCGCCCAGGCTGAAAACCGACTTCTGCGCATGGGCCATGAAGTTTCAATCGCACTGTACGCGCACCTGCACGTGGTATTTTGTGGAAGAGTCACACTCAAGGGGCCAAAGAGCTGCATGTGGCTCACGAGCCGCAGTTTGCTGACCACAGCCCTCAGGAATTGGAGACAATGATTTCTTGAATATGACACCAAAGGCAGAAGCAACAAAAGGAAAATACACAAATTGGACCATATGGAAATTAAAATTTATGCATCAAAGAACAATATCAACAGAGTAAAATGAAAGCTCTCAGAATGGGAGAAAACATTTGCAAATCACTCATCTGATAGGGGATTAATATCCAAAATATATTTTAAAATTCTTAAAACTCAACAGCAACAATAAAGCAAACAATCCAATTAAAAATGGTCAAATGTCTTGAATAGACATGTCTCTAAAGAAGATATAAGAATGACTAATAAGCATGTGAAAAATGCTCAATATCACTAATTAGGGAAATGCAAATCAAAACCACTTGAGTTTTGATTTGCATTGCCCTAATACAATGATGGCTATTACTTCACACCCATTATGATGGCTATAATTTCAAAAAATAGAAAACCAATGTTGGTATGCATATGAAGGAAGTGAAACCCTTGTGCATTGCTAGTGGGAATGTAAAATGGTATGGCCAGTATGAAAAACAGTATTATGGTACCTCAAAAAAATTAAACATGGGAACAGCATTTGACCCAGCAATTCCATTCTGGGTATTTATCTGATGAAACCCAAAACACTAAACTGAAAAGACAGAGGGAGAACCAAGATGGCGGCATAAGTAAACTCTGTACTCGCCATATTCCGCAACTACATCAAAATTACAACTAAAATACAGAACTATCATTCAGAACCACCTGAAATCTGGCTGAATTAAAGAAGAAGCCACACTGAGACTGGCAGGAGGGGTGGAGGCATATATCAGGCAAGTCCAACACCTATGTGTGGCATTTCTTTTCTTTTTTAATCATATCTTTTTAAAAATATATATATTTTTTATTAATTCCAGAGAGGAAGGGAGAGGGAGAGAGAGATAAAAACATCAGTGATGAGAGAGAATCATTGATCAGCTGCCTCCTGCACTGGGGATCGAGCCCACAACCCAGCATGTGCCCTAACTGGGAATTGAACCATGACCTCCTGGTTCATAGGTCAATTCTCAACCACTGGGCCACGCCAGCCAGACACGTTTCTTTAATTGGAAAGGATTTAAGAATTTTAAAATATATTTTGGATATTAATCCCCTATGTTGTGGAGGCCTCCCCTGAGGAGCAAGGGATCCTAGCCCCACACCAGACTCCTCAGCCTAGGGTTCTAGTGCTATGAAGAGAAGCCCCCATAATTTCAGGCTATAAAAACCAGCAGAGATTGTGGCTGGGTGACAAGGTGGCTAATAGAGACCCAGACAATTCCTCTTAAAGGATCATGCAAGGACATACTTGGATTCACTCCCTCTGAGCTCCAGTGCTGGGGCAGTGGCTATGGGGGATTCAGGGACATACAGGGAAGAAGTGGATTGTCTGGCATTGGAGCAAGAACTTGAGGGTGGCTTTGTCCCAGACAGGGGTGCTCGTAGCAGTCATTGTTCCTATGCCGAGACCTCTCCCCCTCCCAGAGCTGACTGGCAGGGGCCATATCTGAGTCTCCATCAACCTGGCTCATACTGTTAGCTCTGTCCTGGTGATTCACTGAGACCCTGCTTCACCCAATTTGCAGCCCCACCCAAGCTGTTTGCAGTGGCTTTTCCATATAAATGGTCTGTCCTGGCTCAGGCTTCAGACTTTCCTAAAAACTCTCAATCAAGCAACAGCTGGAGTCAGCATGTCCCATACCACTCAAGAAGAGGCCCCACGCCCAGCACTAGCAACAGCCTGCCTTGCTTTACAGCTTGGCCTCTCCTGGGCACTTCCAAGCCCAACACAAGTAGCAGCCATGGGCAGATCGCTCTGTAGCTCCTCATGGGTAGCCCTAGGCAGGGCACAGGCAGTGACTGACTTTGTACCTCCAGCAGGGCCCCAAAGCCAGTGCACCCAGTGGACAGCTTCAGACCATGCCAGATTACAATTCTACACATTCACGAGCGACACACTCAAGGGACAGACTCAGTGAGCACCAAAGCCCCACTGAAGAAAGTCCTGCTCCGTAGGGGTGTCTCCCACACAGGAGCTCTTTCTCTGTAGTCACAGCTGGTCCTCAAAGCCAATTGGCCTGGGGATCAATTCCTCCCAGTGATGCCAACACCAATCAAGGCTCAACTACAAGACTGTGCACACAGCCCACACAGGGGCACACCTAGAGTGCCCAGCTCAGGTGGGGAGGCTGAGCCACTGGGCCCTACAGGACACCTACTACACAAGGCCACTCTACCAATTCCAGGAGACATAGCAGCTCTACCTAATACATAGAAACAAACACAGGGAAGCAACCAAACTGTGGAGACAAAATAACATGTCACAAATGAAAGAATAGGAGAAATCTCCAGAAAAAGAAGTAAAAGAAATGGAAGCAAGAAAACTACCACATACAGAGTTCAAAACAATGGTTATAAGGATGCTCAAGGAACTTAATAAGAAATTCAAGGAACTTAGTGAGTACTTCAAGGAACTTAGTGAGAACATCAACAATATTAAAAAAGGATCAGTTAGAAACGGAGGATACACTAACTGAAATTAAGAATAACTTATAAGGAATCAACAGTAGAGTAGAGGACACTGAGAATCAAATCAGCAATTTGGAATATGAGGAAGTAAAAACACCCAATCAGAACAGCAAAAAGAAAAAAGAATCCAAAAATATGAAGACTAAGGAGCCTCTGGGACAACTACAAGCCAACTATTCACATCATAGGGTTTCCCAAAAGAGAAGAGAGAGAGCAAGAAGTTAAAAACCTATCTGAAGAAATAATGACAGAAAACTTCCCTTACACCTGTTGAAAGAAATACTCTTACAAATCCAGGAAGCGCAGAGAGTCCCAAACAAGATGAATCCAAAGAGGCCCAAACCAAGACACATTATAATTTAAATGCCAAAGGTTAAAGACAAAGAGAAAATCTTAAAAGCAGCAAGAGAAAAGCAGTTAGTTACCTACAAGGAAGCACCAATATGACTGTCAGCTGATTTCTCAACAGAAGCTTTGCAGGCCAGAAGGAAGTGGCAAGGACACTATTCAAAGTGATGAATAGTAAGGACCTACAACCAAGATTACTCAGCAAAGCTCTCATTTAGAATTAAAGGTCAGATAAAGAGCTTCAGAGACAAGAAAAAGCTAAAGGAGTTCATCACCACTAAACCAGTATTATATGAAATGTTGAAAAGTGGAGGAGGAGGAAGTGGAGAAAGAGAAGAAGGAGGAAGGAGGAAGAAGAGAAGGAGAAAGGAGAAGGGCAGGAGGAAGGAGGAGGAAAGAGGAGAAAGAAGAAGGAGGAGGAGAAGAAGAAAAAGAAGGAGGAGATAAAAAATAGAACAATAATATGGCAATAAATACATATCTATCAAAAATTGAATCTAGCCCTAGTTGGTTTGGCTCAGTGGATAGAGTGTCGGCCTACGAACTGAAGGGTCCCAGGATCGATTCCAGTCAAGGGCACATGCCTGGGTTGCAGGCTGGATCCCCAGTGGGGGGTATGCAGGAGGCAGCCAATCAATGATTCTCTCTCATCATTGATGTTTCTATCTCTCTCTCCCTCTCCCTTCCTCTCTGAAATCAACAAAAAATTTTTAAAAATTGAACCTAAAAATCAAAATAAACAAGGAATCTAATGAATAAAATAAACTGATGAATAAAATATAACCAGAGGCATGAAAATATAGAAAAGACTGACATATCTCAGAGGGAAGGGAGGAGGAGGCAGGAAGAGATTAACCAAATAACTTATATGCATAAATGCATTACCTATGGACACAGACAATAGGGTGATGAAGACCTGGGGTAGGGCAGATGAGTGGAGGGGGGCATTGGGAGTTGGGAAGGAAAGGAGGACATCTGTAATACTCTCAACAATAAAAAATTTTTTAAAAAAGGAAAGACATATGCACCCATATGTTCCACTGCAGCATAATTACGGTAGCCAAGATACAGGAGCAACCTAAGTGTCCATCAATAGATGAATGGATAAGAAATGTTGCACTATACAATGGAATATGACTCAGCCATAAAAAAATAATGAAGCCTTGCCATTTGCAACAACATGGACCTTAGCGAAATAAATCATACAGAGAAAGAAAAATGCCATATGATTTCAGTTATATGTGGAATCGAAAGAATAAACAAACAAGCAGAATAGAAACAGACTCATAGATAAGAGAATATTTGATGGTTGCCAGATGGGAGGGAGTTTGGGGAATGGGTGAAAAACAAAGGGATTAAGAAGTACAACTTGGTAGTTACAGAACAGTTATGGGATATAATGTACAGTACAGGGATTATAGTCAATAATATTGTAATAACTGCATATGGTGCCAGGTGGGTACTAGTTTTATTGGGGTGATCACTTTGTAAGTTATATAAATATCTGATCATTGGGTTGATCACATGAAACTAATGATACTGTACATCAACTGCAACTGAAAAGTACAAAATTATTGTTTTTTGAAAGTGTACTATAGTGGATGCTGTGGAACACTGCCCAGATACCACCTTCAGGACCAAGATCCCTACCCCTCAATTTGTTGAGTCCTTCTCCAGGAACTGCCTTTGGCTGAAGGGGGCTGCCTCTCTCAAGTTTACACCCCCTCCCTGGTGGCAGCCTACATCAAATAACTGATCACTGTGAAGGTACAAAAGTCTGCCTCCTTCGCCTCTGAAAGGCTGTCCCAGCCTCAGAGCTCCCTGTAGGGCTGGCTGAAGCCTCTGTTACCACTGTATCACAGTTCAAATTCTTCCCCTGCTCAAGTCTCCTCACAGATGTCATTCTTGAGAGTCTCCCTACTAACCTGCAGGCAAATCTCCATCTCAGAGTCTTTTCCCTGGAAAATACAACCTAACAGGGTTACCACAGAGAAACTTACCTTGGTTTAGAAATATAACTCCCACATTTCCCTTCTCCTACTTGGTACCTGATTCTCAGTCGATCATTTTCTGAGTAGAGGCGCAAAACATGTTCCCGTTCCTGGAAGAGGCAGACTTGCATATCACTTAGAGCTTTCTGCAATTCAGCAATCTCTTCTTCCCTCTGCTGCAAATCCCATTCTAGTTTGTGCTGGAAAAAAAAAAAAAAAGTAGTTGAAAAGATATTGAGCCTCACAGGAGTATCTCTTATTGGATAAGAGATATAACTTCTAAGGAACGGAAAAGTGAGTTTTTTAGAAATATTACAATGTGAATGTTTTCACCAATATAGACTTCAAATGACAGCAACAATAAGTTGTATACTGACTTGAGTTTAAAAGCTACAGGGTGAGTATGATATTTGCATATAATGTCAAAGCTCTCATATCTTCCTTCTACAGACTACAAAATCCAGAATGCCAGATGACTCACCTGTTCTATTCACAATTTTTAAAAAATGCTTTCTATTCAATAAGCATTATGAAATTTTGGAACACAAAGATGAAACGGTATGTTTCCTGTCTAGAGCTGAGGAATTTTGTGGACAGACATGCAAACAATTAAAATAATTATTTAATGGAGGAATATGCCTGGTAAAATGATAGAGGGGGAAAGTACAACAGGAGTAAAATCTCTGAAGCCTTTCTGGAAAGTCAGAGACCACCATCAAAAAGTTGAAACTTGGCCGTGGCTGAATGGCTCAGTTGGTTGGGGCATTGTTCCATACAACAAAAGGTTGCGGATTTGATTTCTGGTTCAGGGCACATACCTAGGTTGCGGATTCAATTCCCAGTCAGAGCACGTATGGGATGCAACAAATCAATGTTTCTCATGGGTGTTTCTCTCTTTATATCTCTCTCTCTCTGTCTCATTAAAATCAATAAAAAACGTATTCTTGGATGAGGATTAAAAAAAAGTTGAAACTTGAAAGATGAAGACTGCTAGAGACAAGATGAGGATGGGTACTCTCAGGAAAGAGAACAGTAAATACCGAACCATCAAAAAGTCTTAAATGTTTGGACAACTACAAGTATTTCAATATTACTGAAGTGAAAAGTGAGAGGCAGGCTGAAGAGGTACGAGACTGGAGGCTGGGATACTGGTTAAAGAGGATATTGCAATAATGCAGGTGAGTTATAATGAGAGTTTTAACTAGGGTTGAGGCAATATGATGAAGATATAATGGATTAAGGGATATTTAGGAAGCAGAATCAATAGAACTTACTAAATAACTGAATACGGGGGCTGGGCATAATTACAGGCAATCATACCACTGAGTAAGACACAGAATAAAGAAAAGTTAAGAGGTAAGAAATGGAGGGAAAGAAAATGGTAGGGGTATATGTGGATGTGTGGATAGAGTTGAAAAGGGAGGTTAGTTCAGATATAAGCATATTAACATGGAGTTCAGGAAAAAAGACTCAACATTAGCCACTCGGATGTTATCATTCCTGAGGTGGTATGGACAAAAATAAGACCATTTATGGTGGAATGTGCAAAAACGTTGGCATTTAAGATTAAGGAAGGGGAACCATTAATGGAGACTGAGAGCTGAGATAAAAATGGGAAAAGAAAAATGACACAGAAATCAAAAAAGGAAGAAAGTTTCCAGAAAGCAGAGATCAACAGTGACAGATACTACAGAAGTCACAAAGAGAAGAGATCATTTTGGCAAATGGGTATTAGAGACCACAAGAGTAGTTTTAGTGGAACAGTAAGGAGAGAGACAAAACTGCAGTCACAGAGTCATGAGTGGGTGATAAAGTCAAACTACTCCAGAAGTGGGGCTAAGAAAAGAAAGAGCTATCTACACAAGAGAATAGAGGGGGAAGCACAGCTCAAGAATGGTGTTTATCATATAAATTCTAGACCTCCACATTACGGAGGAGTTCAAACGTCAATCCTTCTAGGAAAAAAAAAGAAGAAAAAGAAGAAGAAAAAAAAGAATGGTGGTTTTTTGTTTGTTTGTTTGTTTTTAAGTTGGGAAAGACTTGAGTATGTTTATATAAACTACTGGGGAGAAAAAGCCCATGTTAAGCAAAAGGTTAAAAATAAAACACAAAGAGAAGAGAGATGATGAAGAAGGGTTTATTAGGAAGAAAAAGGATGTGGGCCAGGGAGAGTGTTGAATCAATTAGCTCGAAGAGGCAGAGATATCTTGTCCCTGAAGTAATAAGAAAGAAAAGAGATGGACACAGGGAGGTAACAGTGTGGATAGGTGGGACGGAGTCATTCACGATAGCTGGTTTTTCCTCTGTGAACCAGGAAGCAAGACTGCTTGAGGAGAGACGGCTAAGATGGGGCTGCAGGCTGGAAGAGAGTAGAGAAGATACAGCAGCACAGGTGGGGAGGGAGAAGGAACTGATTAGGGATAGGTAAGGAAATTGCTGTATAGTGACTGAGAATACAGATGAATTTGTTTACCATGAATTTATTTATTTAATATATTTTATTGACTTTTTTACAGAGAGGAAGGGAGAGGGATAGAGAGTTAGAAACATCAATGAGAGAGAAACATCGATCAGCTGCTTCCTGCACACCTCCTATTGGGGATGTGCCCGCAACCAAGGTACATGCCCTTGACCGGAATCGAACCTGGGACCTTTCAGTCTGCAGGCCGACGCTCTATCCACTGAGCCAAACCAGTTAGGGCAACCATGAATTTATTTTCTAACAATTTGGGACCTTTTCTAAGACAGTGATTCTTAACTAGAGGTGATTTTTCCTGTGCCCCAGGAGAAATTTGGCAATGTCTGCAGGCACTTTTGATGGTCACAACTGGGGGTGTGGTGAGGGTGTGTGCGTGCATATGTGGGCTACTGGTATCTAGTAAGTAGAGGCCAAGGATGCTACTAAGCATCCTACAATTCATAGGATAGTCCCCACAGTAAAGAATTACCAATGCCAAAATGTTAATAGTGCCAAGGTTGACAAACCTTGCTCCAGGAGACTAGATTCCATTATAGCTAGAGCTTTAGTTATGCACATGGAGCAAAAGTATAAGCAAGGGATCATGTGCAGGCAGTACAGTTATTACCAAAGTGAAGTGTGACGGGGTTCAGGTTAGAAGGGAAGAACATGATGTTAGAAACTGACATGCAACATTTGGAAAACTGAAAAGTCAAGCAGCCATGGAGATAATAATAGTCAGGTGTACAGGGCTGAAAGAACTAGAAGTATAAGAGAGACCAAGACATAAAAGTTTAAGATTTTAGAGGTGGAGCAGTTTGGGGGTATTATGGTCTAATGAGGTACCCAAAGGGTACGTAGCGAGGCTGGGGTAGAAGGGAATTGAAAAATATCTGTTTGTGATACAAGCTGTCACTTTGAGATCTTCTCTCAGTCATAACTACACTTCATCAGAGTCCTAAAAGGAAATGCATCATCTCTTTTTACCTGTCCTTCACAAGCTTCTTTGTACAGCTCCAGTTTCTTCAGCAGGTCCTCATTTTCTGCCTCACACTCAGCCATCTTCTTTTGATAATATCCCAGAAGCTCCTGAGAAGGGCAGAGAACAGCCAGACGATCTTCGATGGAAGGCAAAGGAGTTGACTCCACTGAATCTGAGAAAGACACGCCCTTCCACCTGGTAGAACCACTGAAGCCATGCGCAGCACCATGCTTGGGAAGAGTTCCCGGCCTATGGGAAATTAGAAAGGACATATTCATTAAACTGTTTAAACATATATAAAACAATTTCTTAAATAAAAAAAACAGGTTTATGTTCTTAAAGTGTGTATAATTCATGAATTTTTAAAATTCATGTTTAAAAAATGGAATATAAAGTAAGACCAGATAGTAACAGTTAGACATTTTAATACGATAAGATATACACTAACAGGAATAATTATACACTGCTGGTGAAGTGCAACTTGGTGAAACTACAGATAAATGAATTGGCGGAATCTAGTAAAATTGCAATTCCTCTTGTTCTAAAGAAACTCATGCACATATGCACAAGGTGACACATAAGAAAATGTTCATAGTAACATTATGTAAAGGGTCAGCATTAGGAACTATAGCCAAGTTACTAACCATACAACCACATCAAATTCTAATCTCTACCACTGGAGACATTTGAATGACACAGACCATGACTATTCAAGTTCTAAGGGTAATCAAAGGTTGAACAAGAAGCATTTTTAAGCCAAAACAATGAAAGTTAGAAAATAAATGATGCAGAAGTGAAGAAACCCTCATGTGAAAAGTATTCCATTTTGGCTAATTGACTGCAATTTGTAAGGTAAGAAAAAAGACAGCAGAGGGGAGAAACTTGATACCAGAAGTCCAGAGTTGTAGTTAATGACTATGGTCAGCACTTTTAATAAGTGAGCATGTATAGAAGAGATATTAAAATGTACTTTCAACTAATATGAAGAAAAAAAATCTAATATTATCTCAATCATTAAAAGCTTGTGAGAGCACTGGCCAGTGTGGCTCTCAGTTGGTGGGTATTGTCCTGTGTATAGAAAGGTTGCCGGTTTGGTTCCACCCCCAGTAGGGGTGTGCAGGAGGCAGTTGACTGATGTTTCTACTCTCTCTCCCCTCCCCTTTTCCCCTCTCTCTCAAAATCAATTTTAAAATTAAAAAAAAAAAAAAGCTAGTGACAGAAATAGCATTTTACTTGATGTTTCATGTTTCCAAGGCAGCTGCCTAATAACTACTCTGGGGAACAGGTTAATAGATGAACTAAGAGGCATTCCTGAGATTTTGCAGATGAGACTGTGGCAGTGAGGATGAGGAAGATGTGTCATGTAGCAAGGTGATGGCAGAACCAGAATTCCAAGTCCCCTGTGTATGCTGGCTGTTTCTTCTGTAATCCAGGAGGCACTGGCATCTACTAGGCCCATTCAAACTGTCCGGATTCTGGTATTATTATTTCATATGCACTACTTAAAAAAAAAAATAAATGCACTACTTTTTAATCTCAATTCCACATAAGAAGAATAGAGAAATGAGTCTAATATAGTTCAAATCCAGAGTTTGGAAGTATGTTGCCAAAACTCTTCTAGTTCCTAAACTAACTTGCACTAAGGCTACAGAAATTTTGAATTTTTTTAAATTAAATTTATTGGGATGGCACTGGTTAGAAGTCTTGATTCTTTTTTTAAAAATTATTTTTATTTTTGTCAAGGGCGGGGGAAAAAAGGAGAAATATGTAATATTGGGATGGCACTGGTTAGAAGTCTTGATTCTTTTTTTTAAAATTATTTTTATTTTTGTTAATCCTCACCGGAGGATATTTTTCCATTGATATATATATATATATATATATTTTTTTTTTTTAGGGAGAGTGGAAGAGAGAGGGAAAGAGAGAGAGAAACATTGATGTGAGAGAAACACATTTATTGGTTGCCTTCTGCACAAGTCCTGACCAGGGCTGGGAAGGAGCCTGCAACCCCAGGTACGTGCCCTTGACTGGAATTGAACCCAGAACCCTTCAGTCCACAGGTCAATGCTCGTCCACTGAGCCAAACCGGCCAGGGCTTGATTCTTTAAAAAATATATATATTGTTATTGATTTCAGTGAGAAACAGAGAAGGAGAGAGAGATAGAATAATGAGAGAATAATTGATTGGCTGCCTCTTGCACACCCCACACTGGGGATCAAGCCCACAACCTAGGCATGTGCCCTGATCGGGAACTGGGCCATGATCTCCTGGTTCCTATGTTGACGCTCAACCACTGAGCCACAATGGCGGGACAGTCTTGATTCTTGAACAACTCAAAAAATAAGCAAATGTCTTACTTTCTGCAGACAGGGGTACATGTTGGGGTAAAGTTCATGCTGTCCTCTTCACACCTGTTAAATACATAAAAATTCAGAATGAGAGGGCAGCAACAGAACAAAACAGTATAGAACACACAGACTGGATCCCTCTCCAACATTACACGTGCCTGCTGGTAGAATGTGATGTTTTAAAATGTAGTACTATTCTTTAAAGTAGTTCTGAATCCTGAAGTTCTATGACTCTTGAATTTTCATAAGGTATTCTTTGTTATTATTTTCAAATAAAATCAGAATGGCATTTATTATTTTAAATGGATAAGCACAAAAAGAAAACCCTCCTGAGTATGAAGGTTATCTGCAACAATGCAAAACAAACTTACAATCCTTTGCTGAAATTATAGGAGAGGGAGATGCAAAAAGTTTATAATAAGCAAGAGATAGTAAGTGGAAATTAAGGAAGAGGACCCATTATGCTAAATTTAAAATAAATACAAATGCCCTAACCGTTTTGGCTCAGTGGATAGAGCGTCGGCCTGTGGATTCAAAGGTCCCAGGTTCGATTCCGGTCAAGGGCATGTACCTTGGCTGCGGGCACATACCCAGTAGGGAGTGTGCAGGAGGCAGCTGATCGATGTTTCTCTCTCATCAATGTTTCTAACTCTCTATCCCTCTTCCTTCCTCTCTGTAAAAAATCGATAAATTAAAAAAAATAAAATAAAATAAATACAAAGCCATTGATATTATCTTTATTTAGTGTGTGCTGTAGCTACTGTTTTATCTTAGAGAAAGAAAAAAATATTACTTATAAACTTTAAAAGGTTCATTCACAACCCCCATTCCAATTGATGATAGATCTTTTTTTTTCTTAGAGAAAGTTTATTTATAAAGTTACAGAGGTAGCAGAAGTGAGCCAGCTAGGCTGTGTAGGCTCAGAAAACAAGTTATAGAAGCAAAACAGAGCCCTTGAAAGAAGAAGGGGAAAGGAAAGGCACTGAGTGCTACTGAGAGGGAGAGCTGCTGTGAAGACAGATCCTAAATTCCTCTACTTTGAACAATCTTATCACAGAGATTTACAGGGAGAAAAACCTCAGGGAAGGAATACCAAAGTGAGGGAGGGAGAAGGAAAAGAGGGGGAGGAGAGAAGGGGAAGAAAGAGTAGGGGTGAAAAGGGGAGAGGGAGTTTGTTTTTTTTTAATTAGCTTTGAGGAAAGCTTTCTTATCAAGCATGCTTTATCAATCCATTCTGATTTTGAGCCAGTCTAGAGATGATGTATCCCTGGCCACTGCTGGTCAGTGGTTAAGCACTGACCCATGCACCAAGAGGTTGCTGTTTTGATTCCCAGTCAGGGCACATACCCAGGTTGCAGGTTTGATTCCCAGTTGGGGTGCAGAAGGCAACTGATTGATGTTTCTCTGTCACACTGATGTTTCTCTCTCTCTCTCCCTCTCCTTTCCTCTTTCTCTAAAAACCAATGAAAATATATTAAAGAAAGACTTGTATGCATGCATATAAGCATAACTAATGGACATAAGACACTGGGGGGTAAGGGAGGGTAGGGGTGTGTCAAGGGCGGGGGGGAAAAAAAAGGACACTTATGTAATACCCTTTGTAATACTTTAAGCGAAAAATAAAAAAATATTAAAAAAAAAAGAAAATATATTAAAGAAAAAAAAAGAGATGATGTAATGTCCTGTTCTTATGTTCTACCTAGTATATATCTGCTTACCATCTTCAGTCCTTTGGGGAAGATTTTTGTGAAAGAAAAAGAATGAAGAGATAATCACTATTGTTAATTCTGTAACCATTTTCCTGATACGAACTCAAGTGCCTGCCCATAATCATAGAAACCATCTTTTCATTGGCTTCCAGGACACCATATGTTCTTGGTTCTCCACCTTCCTCACAGGTCATTAATTTTCAGTCGCTGATAATTCTTCCTTGTCTTTATACTTTACTAGAGGCCTGGTGCATGGATTCATGCACTGGTGAGGTCCCTTAGGCTGGCCTGTGGGGATTGGGCCAAAATTGTGACAACCCCCAAGGAGTCCCGGATCGCGAGAGGGCACAAGCCAGGCCAAGGGACCCCACCGGTGCATGATCAGGGCTGGGACTGCGGGAGGGCTCCAGGGCATGTCTGGCCCATCTCGCCCAGTCCCAATCGGCCGGACCCCAGCAGCAAGCTAACCTACCAGTCGAGCATCTGCCCCCTGGTGGTCAGTGCACATCATAGCGACTGGCTGAACGATCAAACGGTTGGACACTTAGCATATTAGGCTTTTATTATATAGGATTGCCTTGGTGACCTCATGAAATCTCATGGTTTTCAGGTGTACACCTCCAGTCCTTCCTCTGCCCTCCACTCAATTCACACATATCTGACCACCTACTTCATATCTCCATTTGGATGTCTAACAGATCTCACAAGCTTAAGTCCAAAACTGAGCTCCTGATATATACCTCCTACCACCAAACCTGACCTTTTCTCAGAATTCAACATTCCAGTAATGATTAACACTAATCCACCAGTTGTTTAGGACAACAAACTTAGAGAAATTTTACTCCTCTCTTTGTCTTATGTTACTAGAGGCCTGGTGCACGAACTTGTGCATGGATGGGGTCCTGCCGGCCTGCCCCATCAGGCCGATTTGGCCAGGCTGGCCAGGAGGAGGGGCTGTGGGTGGTTGGTGGGCTGGCCCCGCCCCCATTGGGGTGGGGGGATCAGGGGCGGGGCTAGCTTGGGGGAGGGGCTGCAGGCGGTTGGCCAGCTGGCTCCACCCCCTGGTCGAACTCAAGTTGAACTCCCAGTTGAGGGGACAATTTGCCTATTAGCTTTTTATTATGTAGGATACTCAATCATTAGTAAATCCTAATGACTCTATCACCACCATATCTAAAATCTGACAACCACTCAGATTTTATTTATTTAAAATATTTTTTTATTGATTTCAGAGAGGAAGAGAGAGATAGAAACATCAATGATGAGAGAGAACCATTGATGGGCTGACTCCTGCATACCCCACACTAGGGACCGAGCCCACAACCCACGCATGTGCCCTTGACCAGAACTGAACCTGGGACCTTTCAGTCCGCAGGCCGATGCTCCATCCACTAAGCCAAACCAGCCAGCGCTCGCCCCCCTCCTTTTTTAAATATATTTTCATTGATTTCAGAGAGAGGAAGGGAGAGGGAGAGATAGAAACATCAATAATGAAAGAGAATCATTGATCGGCTGCCTCCTGCATGCCCCCTACTGGGGATTGAGCCTGTAACCCGGGTATGTGCCCTGACCTGGAATCAAACCAGGGACCCTTCAGTCCCAACGCTTTATCCACTGAGCCAAACCAGCTAGGGAACCATCTCCCTTTTTATTCTCTTGTTTAAAAGATTACTTTCCTTCTTCAAACTTACGTTCTTCTATAAAACTTCTCCAAATTGGACCAATTTGACTCTAGTAGAAAATAACCTAGAAAATAAAAATGGTAATTGGGTTGGTATGATAGATACAGGTGACATTTTAAAATATAGTTTTATTGAGATATAATTCACATTCCATACAATAGAGTCATTTAAAGTGTATCATTCAATGATTAGTATATTCACAGATAGGCCCAACCATCACCAGTCAATTGTACAACATTTTTATCACTTAAGAAGGAACCCTATATCCTTTAGCTATCAACCCTGTGCTCCACCCAGTCCTCCCCGAAGCAACCACTACCCTACTTTCTGTTTCTATAGACCTTCCTATTATGGGCATTCATATGAATGCAATCATACAGTATGTGGTCTTTTGTGACTGGCTTCTTGCACTCAGTATAATGTTTTTAGTACTTGCTGTAGTCAGTACTTCATTCTTTTTTATGTCCAAATAACACTACATTTTATGAATATGGGTGACATTTTAAAGATAAATATCACTGTTCTAAAACTAATTAAGAGTAACTTAGAACTTTAAAAGTCTTCCAACAACCTGCAATCTCTTCTCCCTCATAGACAGTCTCACTCCTTCTGGGCTATTGCAAATCTACAAAAAGTTGTTTGTACTCACATTTATTTATTTATTTTTTATAATCGCTAACCATCTAACTTCTACTACATCTGTTCTTGGTCAGCAGACATACAATTTAATAAACTTCGTTGCTCTTTTGGGTTCCTATCTATCATCCAACAAGTCCCTTCTTGATGTGTATGCTTAATTTGTCAGTGTTGATCACCCTTTTAAAAAAATATTGCTTTGTAGTTGAGAGCGTGGATTCTGAAATCAAACAGACTTGAGTTTGAGTCAATGGTCTGTCCCTTTTTAGCTGTGTGACTTCAGGCAAGTTACTTAATCTCTCTAAACTTCAGTTACTTCTTAGAAAATGGGGAGAACAGCATGTTTTTTATAGGTCAGTGTAAAGATTAAATGAACTAATGAATGAAAGGGCTGACTGAGCACAATGTCTGGTACACAATAGGCACTCAGTAACTGCAGATTATTTTTACTGAAAATGTTCCTCCCTTGGCGCAAAGGTTCTGTCCTCAACTTCTTTTTACTACTTCTTCTATCCATTTCTTTGGAAACATCATTATTTTCACTGCTTTTGTGATTATCTCTATCATTAAAACACTACCTGGCATAGAATAACAACTACTTGTTAAATGAACAAATAGATCTCTTTCAATCTCCTAATTTGAGTTTCCAACTATGTAATGGACATTTTCATGTTTATGTCCCATTGGAGCTTAAAATGTTTAACCAAAAGAGAAAAAAAAAAAATCACTCAAATCATATATTTTTTAGCACCTCAAAACGAACACTTCCTAAACCTAATACATCCTCTTTTCCATCCAAACATGTTCCTTCTGACTTTCCTATTTTAGGTACTAAATTCAGCATCTTCCAAGCAACCTGAACTTGAAAATTTTAATTCATTATTTCATTACTACTTCTCTTGACCCTCTCATGCAACCATATAATAGTCATCTATATCCTATCTCGACAATAACCGTGCTGATTCAGGATCTCCCTATCCTCTTATCCACTCCACTACAATGGCTTCACTGTTCTACACACACCTGGTCTCCCCTGGTCCATCTTCTTAAACATCATAAAAGTCATCGATAGCTTCTCACAGCCAAATGCATTAAATCAAACTCAGCCTAGAGGTCACTGCTTTCTTTCTAAGGACCAACCCTATCTCTCCTGCCTTATTTCCCTATACTCCCCCTAAGCATATCCTTGGTTTCCAGATAGCTTTCTCGCCTCCAGTTCCTCCAACTGGAACAGAGCTCCCTCCACTTTCATAATTTCACTTAATGAAATCCAGTCTGTCCATAAAAACTCCAATAGTACCTCCTTCATCTCTTTCCTGAGTCTCTCCAT